GGGGGGGGGCGGGGACGGGACAATGTGCTGATTCTGCAGACTGCTTAAGAGAGGGCTGTAAAGCACTGTGTAGCAGTACATGCCTAAGTGCTATTGCTATGGAATAGACAGTCACAGAATGAAAAACAACACGAAAGTTCGGGGATTTGAACATCATTAGGTTACACTAGATACAACTAGTATTTGTGGGTCATCTTATTTATATATAGAATTTGATTTCAAAATACATATATTCAGAACGTATTTTTACTTTTCCTATAAGCAGGGAACAGGAAAAAAAGCACCAGCATGTTGCAGAGGAATCTGTCAATACCTCCTTTTGATGAACTATGTCCCTATTTCAAATTGTCTCCTGTGAGAGAAGAAAATATTTGGAGATCCCATTGTAGATTTTCCAAGACCCTCTCAACTGTAGTTGATACTATAGAACATAATCCAATTAGCTGTCTGTCTATGCTTTTTATTTTAACAATCATTCAAAATATTATTTACCTCACATACTCTAAATAAAAGAAAGTTTTCTCTCTTATAATAGACAAATTCCTTTTACCTGTAACATCAATAATTTATTTATTTATTGAATTTATATTGCCGCCTATTCGCACATGGTGACTCAAGGAGGCTTACAGAATATAAAACCTCATTTAAAACAATAAAACTAATAAAAAAGAATCAAATAGTATAATAAAATCACCCCACCCCCTGCCCTGGTGACAGCAGATCACATGAGCCTTTTAATAGGCTCCATCCCACTCTGGGTTCCCCAGGCCCGCTGGCAGAATTAGGTCTTCAGGGCCTTCCGAAAGAGTGCTAGAGTGAGGGCCATTCTAATCTCTGGGGGAATGAAGTTACAGAGAGAAGGAACCACCACGGAGAAGGCCCTTCTTCTGGGTCCCACCAGGTGTTATCTTATTAGGGGATGGGACCTGCAACATTCTCTCCCTCTGATGGGTAGGGTAGATGTGACCGGCAAGAGACAGTCCCTCAGATAACCTGGTTCCAAGCCGAAGGGTTTTAAAGGTGACAACCAGCACCTTGAATTGCACCCGGAAGCAAATCGGCAGCGAATAATAATGTTAACTTCAATAAATATTGATCCTTTACTTTTCTTCCTTTGGTTTTATTTTCTTAAGGAAAAACCAGTCATAAAAATGTGACAAACATAAAACAACATAGGCATGAATATGAATATATGAAATTACAATAATTTCATATAACTCTATCACTTTTCTCCTTTCCAGCTGTCATTACCTTTTGTGACATTTCTGCTTGCAGCTGCTGTTCTATTTCTCTTTTATATTCAGCAAGTTTTACATGAAAAGACTCAGATAAATGACGCTGAGGATACATGTCTGCAAACTGTTCATCAATTAGGTGAAGTTTCTCAGCTACAAAAACAAAATACATGAAGTGTTCCATTACTTTTTATATTTCCCCCCCTCCCCCTAGATCCCCACCTCCCTTCCCTCCCCCCGACTTCCCAGAGCC